TTAAACCAAAATCGCACAAAGGCACGCACAAAGTCAAACCCGACTTCCAAGCCAACTCCATAATCTCTGTCCTAATGTCTGTTCCTTCATTTTACAATGACCCGAGAATCGCCCGACCTACAACACGTTTACCATTCTCCCTATAACACCAATGTAGCCGCTAGCAAACGCGCGACGCTCCGTCTACATAGATTACCACTAAAACGACCCCGAGTCTACTAGCCATCCGCGTCTCGCTTACTCATTTATGTAACATCTGTAAATCATATGCTACAACAACATATGTAACGGTATTCCGCTCGGATCGTAGTGAACGTTCGCTTGTTCCTGCGCAGGTGCACGAACGGCGGCACACGGACGAGCGACCGTACGTCTGCCTGCAGTGCGGCAGCTCGTTCCGCCAGATGGGGGCGCTAGTGGGCCACTTCAAGCGGAAGGATCACTGCGGCAACCCTTGCCTGCTCAGCAGTGCTGCCACCTCCGCCTCTGCCTCGACAACGCTGAAGTCTGCGCAGCGAGCGCCCGACGACGTGAATCGCGCTCGCGTCTGAGCTGGCGCTCTCACGCCCGACGCTCTCACGCTTCCGACACCCGTACCTTGACACCTGAGCTCGCACGCTGTCACGCACCGCACGGTAAAGACCAGTGGCAGCGGAGGATTTGGCAGACGGCGCGTACGTTCGTGGCTCTTTCGTCATCTTTCGGTCACGGTCGCGCCGCCATGACACGTCGGCTCGCACACTTGTGCCGCACGGTAAAGTCCGGCAGCGGAGGGCCGGCAGACAACCGCTCTCCTCTTCCCCGTATATTCGCGGTTCTTTTGTCATCTTCCCGCCCGGCATTGCCTGAATTGACGTCGTTGCCAGGCGATGTCGTTGCCGGGGGCGATGCCGTTGCCAGGGCGATGCCGTTGCTGGGGCGAGCGGCTGACGTCGGTATTAACGTGCAGGTTTTCAACGCGAGAAGTCCGATCCATCGCACGACAGGATTAACGACGTCTCGCTGTTAATTAGTCGATTAATCGCGCGATTTCTCGTCATAAACTTGTCGCTCGTGTGCGCCACTCGTGTCGTTAAATGGTGTTGCCGTGGCGATGTGTGTGTGGCGGGGCAACGTCCGGTTGCTGCGGTTGAACGCGTATCTCGCGCTGTCTCCAACAACGTGGCGTTGCCCTAGTATTTTTTTTTGTATTTGCGACTCTGGAGGCATCATCATCATCATCATCATCATCATCATCATCATCATCATCATCCGGCTTTAGTTTATCCAGGCCTGAATTAATCCTCTCCCGAGGGTGGGGCCTGTCTGACTTGTCGTCGTCGGAGACACCCTCTCCACGCAGAGCAGTTTTGAGGGTCCGTCGTTTCCAAGCCGAGCTTCGCCCGGTCGCTCTTTATCGTTCTGGTCATATCATGATATGCATTGATCCCAATGATGTATGCATTGATCCCAATGATGTATGCATTGATCCCAATGATGTATGCATTGATCCCAATGATGTATGCATTGATCTCCCAAGATTATGCATTGATTAAATTGCATTGCTTACCGCTCGCGGATCGGCATGACAAGATCGGGCCTCAGGCCGTCCACAGTGAACGGTGATCGCGGAGGTGTGTCGATCGTCGCGTTTTCTGACAAACCATAAGCAACCGCGCATCTGTCGGAGCATTGAAATGCGTATATTATCTTGTGTATGGGATCAGGTACGATTCGTTCGATACGGAACCGCTTGAACTTCGGGGGATGATCTGCTTGAGCCGTAAGTAGCTTCGAGCGCACATCCCGTGCCATATCCCGAGGAGACTACCCAACGCTCCCAACCACGGTTTTCATAGGCCGTGTTTATGCATTAAACGATGTGACGAATCTGCTATCTAGTCCGCGCTCATGCACTCATCTAGAAAAGTCGTCTGGACCTGTGGCACGCAGGACGTCGCCAGCTGGAAAGGCACTAGAAAAAATCCTCCAGGCTCAGAACTCAAAACGGCAACTCGTGACACCACAAGGGCGTAACCCCTGCTTGATGGTGGTGCGAAAGCGCCTGACCCTCGTTAGCAAGGTTATGGCACCACAAGGCGAGGCGATGACAACTAATCGGACGTCTTGTGTGACTTTGGTTCGAGCCCCAAAATGGCAGACCAAAGCAATTAACGGGCTACGCAGTAGGCCGAAAATTGAGCCCCCGGTGCGCGAGGTATTCTCGTGTTAAGTCAAGCCCGAGATGGCGACGAAGGCACAGTCTGATCCTTAGAGTTCCCGGTGGAGAGAGGCAGGACGTGATTGCAGGGGGAGGGCGCGCGATCTGCATCGGGTCAAGTATCAGAGAGACTGCGCTGGTCTACGGTCTTTTCGGTCCCGCAACCCTCAAGCCGAATGTTGTCGCAAATCCGGACAACTGTCGCGAACCTTTGAAGTCCGTGGCGGACTGGCCAGTGGGATGACAGGAGGAGTAAGGCGCCCGCACTACACGGCCGACTAACTCGTAAGGCCTAGAACAACCCTTTCACCTAGCACAAGGGCATATCTTTTCACGTAAAGAACTGCGCGGCGGGACAAAACCGCGGGGCGTGCTCGAGAGCGTTTGACGCGTGAACGCCCATCTCTCAGAGAAGACACTACAAAACAAGGGCGGTACTTGGCAGAAATCTCTCGAGTCCCCCGCACGGTGGCTACCAAACCATCGACTCCCAACGAGGCTCTCGCTGAACATTCCCGCGGCGCGAAGCGGGTTAGACAGCAAAAGCCCAACCCTCCGCGCCTTCAAACCCCAAGCCGGGGTTCCAGACCCACTTCGAACCCCTCACCACACCCACAGCCGCCACCTCATACCCCTCCCCACCCACCACACCCGCACTCGACCCTTCCACACCCAACCAACCCTCAACCCTCGCCACCCGACCCACCTCGACGCTCCACACCCACCCCACCTCGACCTCCCACACCCCACCACGAATCAACCCTCCCGACACCCACTCCACCTCGACCCCGCACCTCAACCCTCCAACACCAGGACCGACCTCCGTGCACCCGCCGCCGCCAGCCACCTCTGACCCCTCCACAACCACCACCTCAACCCCCCACCACCACACCCCACTTCGACCCACCCACCTCAACCACTCCCCACACTCGACCCACTTCGACCCCCCACACCCACCACCTCGACCCTCCCACACAGCACCCACCTCGCCCCCTCCCACACACCAACACCTCAACCTCCCACACCCAACCCAGACTCGAGCCCCTCCCACACCAACGACCACCTTGACCCGCCCTGCATGCACATCGTATGACACGCACACAGACACACACACACCACACGCCACACCACCTACCCTCACACGAGCGAACCCCTCACCCCACCAACTCACCCCACCACCACACACAACCACAGCACGATATACAGCGCCTACGACCCTCACCCACCACCAACCACACACACACCCAGCGACATCCATCACAACCCACACCATCCACCACACCACCCACCCAGGCCGTCGGACCCTGCCCGACACCACCCACACACCACCAACACACATCACACAACACACCCACACACACACACACTACACATCAGCAGACCACGCACCTACCACACCCACACACAACGACCCAACACACACACCACACAACACACTACCGAACACCCTCACAGCACACCACTCCCACCCGCCACACGACACACCACTCGACCCAAAAAACTCCACACCCACGAAAGCCGACCTCGATCCCACACCACCCCCCCGCGCACCACACCATACGCGCACACACACACACACATATAGCACACACACACCACCTCCCGACCTCCACCACACACACACCACACACACACAACACCACCACCCACACCACAGCACGCGGCATCGCAACCACACACAGACACCCAACAATGACTCGCACGATGCACGCGACGACACCCCAGCGACCCACATCTCACCCTCACCACAGCTGCTCCCACGGTCTCACCGTCAACGCCTCACACGCCGCCCACTCACATGCACGCACGCACACACGTACGTACTGCGATGCTGTGATAGGCGTTGGGATTTACGGTAGAGGCGTGGAGATGTGGATTAGGTCTCGGATTCTTCATCGTCGACACTTGCCTATCGATTAGAAGTTCCATAAAGCGGGGGTGTGTGAGGAGGCCAGGCAACGGCAGTGGGGGTCAGTTATCAGAATCAATCATGTTAAACGGGAGCTTAGTGCGCAGTTGTGATCAGCATCAGTGATAAAATACTAATATGACACATACATGATTAAATAAACACAAAGATAATCTTCGAGATTCCATCTTCACCTTCTCCACTCTTTACATAATACTCACTATCATATCTGCAGCCAGAGCTTCAATATTTCAGTAAAATACTGCAGTTCGTGTACCCTTGGGAAAGCACACAGCGAGCGAAACTCCCTCTCTCCTCCTACATCAGCATTCTAGCCCCTCACACGACCGGCTCCTCAGACGCGCAGATTATCCGCTGCACACGGCGAAACTCCCTCACTACAACCCTAATATCTCGATCCACCGTAAAAAATAAACGCAAGAGAACGAAAAACGCTGTGAGAAACTTTTGTCCTTCTGGCCGGCTGAGGGTCAATTAAGTTTCGCGTCGGGATTGCCCTAAAAGAACCCAGCTCCCACCACCCACCATCCGCGAGACCGCATAAAACCGTACCCATGGACCGCGACTCGCTGGGTCATGCGACGCTCCCCGCCCACTCCGACACCAACCTCCGACCGCACGCACGCACGCACGCACCGCGACGCACGTACGCAACGTCGTGCGATCGCGCTCGCGCGCCCCCACCCCATCCAAGCCCACAAGCACAGCAGCTAGCAGACCCACGCAGCAGCGCACAACATCGACTACACAACCAGCACACCCCCCACCACGCCGAACCCAAGGCCAGTGAGCAGCAGCTAACAGCAGTCTACACGACCAGCTCAGCAGTCACGCCAGACCAACGCAACAACAGTAGCAAGCCAGAGCAAGGCCAGTAGGCAGCAGAGGCAGCAGCATTCCGCAGCAGGCAACAACAGGCACGACAACAGCAGCAAGCAGTAACACGCATGCAAGTAACGCCAGCAGGTTGCCACGCTACAGGCCAGCACAGCTAGTAGGCAGCACTAGTCCCTCCCCCTCACTCCCACGGCCTGTTTAACCCCACCCACCTCAACCCTCCCACACCCACCCACCTCAACCCTCCAACACCACCACGCCTGCTACGGATCGGAGCGCCCCCCAACACCCACACCCCTGGCCCCTATACTCTCCCACCAACCCCATGGGGCCCTCCTCACGCTATATCCCCCGCCTCACTCCCCCACCCACACTGCCAGTCGACTCCCATCCCCTCACCTCCTCACTCCTACAAATTCGCTGCCCCACTCTCTTCCCCCTCGACCTCCGCTTCTCCTCCCCCACTTTCCTCCTTACAACTGCGAGCTCCCTTCCCGCGTCACCTCCCCCCCTCATTCTTCCCCCTCCTTCTTCCCCTCACTTCCCCACTCACTACCCTTCCTCCTGCACAGCTCCCTCCCGCTGTATCACTCTCCTCGCCATCTATTCTCGCGCACCTCCTCACACCCATCCCCTCCTCCTCTAATTCCTCCCTCGGATCTCTCACTCCGCCACTTCACATACTTCAACTCAAACACAGACACAAAATACTCAATACACACGAAATAAAATACAACCTCAGCTATAATTCCATCCAGTTGGTACATAGTCAAGCCGACACCAACTAACGCCACTCGAGGACCGGTTATATACTCTAGTAATTCTCGAATGCACACACTACTCTAATCACACATTAAGTTGTATATCCCGTAACGAGTGAGCTAGACACCTGTCTAAAACACTCTGTCGCAATGCCGACTCGCGCTCTGATCTTGCTGAGAGAATCATCTACGAACATTTACTGAACAGAACTCAGTAAACGACACGTAAAACTTAAAAGACCATGCGACACACATCACCAGATTCGTCATAACAATACACACAACAAAAACATACCATCTATCTAATCCACTAAGGTTTTAATATAACGTGTATTGATAAGCTAGTGATCAGCCACGTACTACAAACTCGGTCCGCTACCCGCGAGAGCCTATCACCCATCATCACGACTCACCACTACACAACCACTACCCCCTTTACACACACAAACGACTACACATTCCGAACACTACATACTACCAGCTAGCACATACACTAATCGACTCCCCCACCGACCGCCACCCTCACGCCGCGAGAGCCCCACACAAACAAAACTACACTACAAACCACCAGCTACACTATCCTACACCGTAGACTAACACTACACCTACCCTACACTACCCACTTCACACACCCTGCACACAGATATCACTACCATCCGAGCGCGCTCCACACCACCAACAGGAGCCCGTGCAACAGAAGGCAGAGCTTCCTGTGGAGTTTATCACTGACCATCCGTCGCTAACCACACCCCCGCCGCGCACGCGAAACACTCCGACCCGCACTTCTAAATATCCTATCTTATCACATGTATAACCAGGCGACCCGAATAATTCGTTAATATTGGGTGACCCCCGGCGAACTCATTCGTGCCTACTCCAACGTCGCGTCCCGACGAGCAAGCATGCAGTCCTCGATCTACGCCCGTGACTAGTCCGCCTAGCGACCTCCGAACTACTGCCATCCCGCCCTAGAGACCTGCGTGAAGTCCTGTCTTCGGGCGCACGCACAGCTGACCGGACACTGGCTTCACGAATGAACGTCGGTACAGGCGGTTTCAGAGAAAAAGCCATCGCACCAGTACCTCTTCAGTCCAACAAGTAGCAGCACGCTCCCCCGCCCCCCACTGCCCAGAGCAGCTGTCGCGTACCATAAACGCTCGTGTATATTTTCAAGGAGCTAATAACCTTTTGCGGCACTTGTACTCCGTGTTGTATGCTTCTTGCGCTAACTCTTGTATCTCGCACATCAGTCATTTGATGACTTGTCATGTACTCTGCGTATTGTGTGACCTCGCATGGTGGTTAGTTGTAATGCGTATTGGTACTGTATTGCTTTGTGACTTGTTATGAGGTCTCGACTATGGCCTCTTGATATTTTAGAGCTGTACAAACAGTGTAAGGCGACACGTTGCGCGAACGTGGAATCGCCACGGAAGATGCTGAGGCCTTTCGACTGCAGATAGAATTGAAACGCCCCATGAAAACAGAACCTTGCCACCAGCACTCCGACACCCCGTTGATGAAGGTCCGGATCACCTATAAACTGAAGACAACCAGACTTCTGAGACACGCGCAAAACTGTACCCTGCAAACAGGCTTGGCTTAGAAAACTCAGTTAGTCGTGCGGGGCAAAATGCAAAGGGTATACAACTGTAGCAAATTCGCCCCACTTAGCGGCCATTTAGCAGCTTGAGCGAGGAGCTTTAAGAGCCTATTGTATGCCATATTTTAGTTCATATAACGCGAGAGAGCCGCGAACGTGAATGGACAATTCTTTCTACGGCAGTGTTACAGAAATTCTACGTGACACCATCGTTTCATAGTTTTACATTTCATAGAAAACGAGCAGTGCATAGGCGCAAGATTAATTCCTCTGCAGAGATTCTTAAATTATAGCTATTTTCTTAAACCTGGTACTATCGGGCTCTCCCGGAAATGATCTCGTCAGGTGCGAGTCCGCACTGAATCAACTCCTATGATTTCACACTGTTGAGGCGGTTCTTCGACTGGTTTCTTTCTCAAATTCGAGCACGCCCTTCCATGTTGATGAGTATGAATCGGAACCTTTGAAGCTTACACTCGCATCAGGTAAGCGTGGGCTTTGAATGACTCCTGTACAGATCGTAATGACCACATTGTTACTAGAGCGGAATCGTTATCTAAGCAAGATCAATTTTTTCCACTTAATGGCAAAATGGCGCAAGATTGAAATGATCCTCCAGACTAGATGTGAGTTACGGATGAGAGAGCGAGAGCAGAGAGAGCGAATCTAACAAGGATGGCGACTTAACGTATTGTATTTTCATACATCCGCTTTACCCGCGGCAGCGACGAACTTCAAAGCTACGGACGATCAGAAGCACTGCGGAGAGAGCGATGCAATTAGCCTACTAGCATAGCCATCACAGAGCCCAGCATTCCTATCCCCATCTATTGAATTAGTGATAATTAGATTTCGGTGGGCGGGGCAGAGAATGGCGGGCCATCTCTTCGGGGATAAATCATCTTGCTCAATGTGAGCGAGAGAGGACTATGCATTGATAATATCAAATGCAAATCATGATGTGAGTCATCAATGGCATAGCTATCGGTTTACCTAATCAAGGGGGGAAGAGTAGGGTCGAGTTGACATACTAGATAACTGATGCAATAGAACGATAGAAGCGGCCAACAAGGCAGGACAGAGGGAGTAGAGTTTATATAAATGAAGCTAGAAATGCTAACCAATTATTGCAAGCCCAAACTTCTATGTCTAACATAAACCAGATCATTATATGAGAGAAGAAAATAGAATGGTTCCTGAGAGAAGAAGAAAGGAGAGATGATAACAAATGACAAGACAGACAAAAAGAAAGTAAATCTATAACGTACTATAGAGAAGGCACACGAATTTAGGCAACAAGCGTACACCATTATATTTGCAGCCAAAAAAGAATGAGCTGAGAGAGAGCGAGAGAGAACAGACAGGATTGACTTCGCTCTGTCTAGTGAAATCATCATAATGATACTGAAAGGTACACAAAAAAGAACAGGAGAAAAAGGAGAAGAGAAGAAAACGAGAAGCCAGATCAGCACCAAGCAGCAGCAGCTCAGCAACAGCAACAGCAACCAGGAGAACCGAACAACAACAGACAGACAGAGCAACGTTAAACAAAACCAAATCAACCCGACGTGATAAACAATAACAAATGATAACAGAATCAAACGAAATAACGCTTCAAATGCCATAGTTATTAATTATTTATTTAATGCAGAATTATCGAGTGATCACATAATATATAACTGCATATTCCGAACAAACGAAACGGCCAAACAAAAAGTAACAATCAACAGAGCAAAATGAAGAACAGACAATACGACACAAAAAGCCAACACCAGAGACTACCAGTAAAAAAACAGAATCAACTACATCACACAACCGTAAACGGGCGCCACAACCGACACTCGAGAGCCAGCGCAGCACGCAAAATTCGCAACCCAGACCAACACCAGCAACACACACTCAGAACCCGACACGCAACTCCAGCGACGCCAACAGCAGCAGACCACAACTGACGGCAGAGTATCCATCGCCACGGTTCGTCTGTGCGCGTTTAGCCTGGCCATGGTCCGCCCCCATCGCTGCACAGATGCGCGGCGACCACAAGACTACCCAACTATATGAGCTGCGAGCCGAGTGGCGCAGCACACGAGTAGAGTTGCGCTGTAGACAGCCGAGGTCACGTGCGAATGACGTGACATCCTGCTCTGCATTGCATTGCCGCAGAGCTACCATCGAGCAGCTAGCGGCGGAGGCGGACGCTGATGATAGATCTTGCTGCTATGGCGGGAGGACGGCGGCCCGAGACAGCCCACTCATCACGACATCGGAGCATTATTGTCAGCGCTGGCGTCTGACAGCTGCTACGCTGTGTTGCTGCTTGCCGCTGCACTGCTGTTCGCTGCGGTGGCCGGGCCGTCTGGGGGCGAGGCGGCGCCGATTTTTTCTTGTCTGCGGAGTCCGCACGACTGCTTTCGCCTTGTACCTACCGCCCCATGAGATTACTGCTCGAGCCAATCGAGAAGCGTCGGGAAAATCGTGCGCACGATTACCTCAGCGATTCGATGAGCGCCTTTACTTTAATCGCCAAGATGTGATATGGCCGGACTAGACTAAGATTGATCCTGAATCACACGCCTGCCGAAAGACAGTCACAGAGAATGATTGAAACCTATTGTCGGAGCGCCGTTCGATATAAGTCGCGCCGCAGGGCAGTCACGTTCTTCTGACGATCACTTGCTCGAGGTTCGGCAGACCTCCGTGACCTATGATCACATTGAACTCGGTTATAGCAAACAGACGGGTTCACACGTCGAGAGATTTAGTTGAGACGAGTATCAGAACAGTTCAAACTAGAGCTGTATAACTCGTTCAGTAGATGCGAGATAAGTGCAATGTCTACGCAGGAGAGACTTCTAGCTGGCAAATATTAATTTATCAATCGATCAAGAAGAATCAAAACATCTACATAGCAATACTATTCATCAATATTAGAGATATCAGCGAGAGTAATAGAAGGAATAAATTCCCTAGAGTATAAAAAGTTAATAGCAATGTACTAACAGCTCCCCATCAGAACAAAACAAGAAGCATGACACACTTTGCAGGTATAATCCGATAGCAGTAAATCATTTTATCTAGTCAGCATGAGCGACTAGAGAGTCCACAACTTATTCGCAAGGTCATCGCACTACACATTAGTCAGAGTCAACGACACAGTTATCCGACAACGAATTGGTGTCCGTGTGACATTGCGTTACGAGTTGGCTCGTAGTCCCCGCGATCCGCTATGTATATGATATGACATTGTCCGAGTACATCTAATCAGCCTATTCGTGCATATACCTGTGCAACAAATTTTAAAATAGTAACATCGATCTTACAACCTGTAGCGAATTACCGCCGTAAGATATGAAGAATACACTAGCGAATCAACATCGAGAGTCCACATCATGAAATGTGCAACACGTGCATGGCGACAGCGCACTGTATGTCGTAAAGTGCTTCGAGTATGCCTGCATCACGTATTGTATCGTGAAAGGTGTACTGGCGAACATGGAATGATTGCGCAACGGCAAAATAGCAGTCAGCCTAAACAAAGCGCACTGATTAGTTGCCACTATCGCCCTGACTGCTTTTATCAAGAGTAATAATCAGAGATGACAGACACAGGGGATTAATCGATGTTTTTATCAATAGATTAACTTATTCATACGTAAACCAAGTGAAGATAAAGACGTGAGTGAGGAATGTCTAGCACGTAAGCGACAGTATGATCACCTAAATTCAAAAGCTGTGCCATCGTGATAGATGACGCCACAGAACAGTGACTACGACCACGTGGGCATTATTTCTCTTATATCCGATTGAGTGATACGGAGGGTGTATGGTTAGATGTTGCGTATGGTATCAGCGGTAGCACTATACCAAAACCCCTCCACACATCAACAACCACATCGCTTGCCACAGCATCACGACAGCGAACAGGGACTTCGTATCATGGGATGAGACCATAATCCGTGTGCTAACTAGCGCGTGACTTGTCATATAACCATTCCATATACTTAGCACCTAACACGAAACGACATCCTCACTCATTTGGAGAGTGCCATAACCTTTACATAACATTCATCCCCACTGACAACACATAAGGCTAGGTGGAAAAACGCTAAGCAAATCATCCAGCACCTCCGTGGACGCTCCCTGCTCGTGTATAACTGGGTTTCTATGCGCTCGTTAGAGTAAAAAGAGGGCACGAGATTACGGATCTAACAACCTAGACTCACATCACACGCTTGGTATAAAAAGACGAGGATGTGACATTATATCTTGAAAACAGTTGAGACGGGCGACGTAGGCGCGTAAAGATCGCACGTGATTGTACCGATTGTTCATACTTCCTCTCACACAAAATCAAAGCCTAGAGTTAAATGTAGTTGCGTGCGATAACGGAGTATTGAATTACCTTTACACAATAAAGGTTACGTAGAAACTCTACAAAATATACGTCTGAGAGGATCTAGATATAATATATCGACTAGCACTTGCACTTAATCAGTATAATATATCATAATCATGAAATGCGTGCATTACGGCGAGTGTAAAATTGATAAGCTAAGCTGGCAGGAATTATTTCGCTTATTACATGTTGCGAACGCAGTCAATATAAGATTTTACATGGTAGAAGAGCCAAATCAGAAAATCAAGAGCAGCTAATAGAATATAGTCTTAAATATACCTCTAAGTATAGACTCCATGATAACTGTTCACATGTTAAAAATTAGCGATCCGTACGGGCTGTATTTAAACGGAACCTTATTATCCGCAAGGATTTTCATCTGTCAGAGAGAAATAGCATCGTTATAGCAATGTCATGTTTTGTCACGATTAACTACAGCTCTATACCACCATGATATAAATCCATATACAATTCTCGCAAACAAGCAGTGTAAAATTGAGAGAAAGGAGAAATCCCATATGAATCTCGAATATTCAGTGAAACAAGCCTTAAAACGTTCTAAAATGAGTTGACACGAATCTTATATCAATTATCCGGCCACACAGTCAAAAAACTTCTGATGTAGACAAATGGACATGCTTCTGCCGACCTTTATATCAAGTGAGAGGATCTCATGAAGATTATCGATTGCGTGAACACACATGCATTCATGAGACAGATCATGCGAGCCAAGAGAAAGTGATGCAATCATTAAGTAGATTTGATTTATTTTTTTTCTTGTTATTTTTTGGTATTTTTCTTTTGATTTAATTTTTTTTGTTTGGTTAGCGCTGTTAATCGGCGGCTGCAAACATGCATCGTTATCCTTATCCAGCTCTTAAAACTTCAATCATGAGCACAAAGATTAGCGAAAGGAAACCTTATCTGAATCGTGATAACGAATGAAATGCATCTGTTTTGAACCATGCAGCGAATGCCCCATACCGTATTCACCGTACTGTTATCACACATAATACCATGGCGACATACTTACAAGCAGTCTAACAACAGGGTGTTGGCATATATGAGTTTTATGAGAGTCCACAAATAAAACTATGAGGTTAAGTCCACCTCTGTAGCAGCATGGGGAGTGGAAGATATTTGTGATCTACATAAGAAACTATTAGCATGCGGAAAGTAAGAAGGATGGGTATCGTTATCAGATAAAAATAGATGGCACGTGAACATGCACATACTTGTAGTCCACAACTGGGTCACGCCAGCGCTCTGCTGCCATATATTGTGATGAAAGCCCAGAGTAAAAAATAACACTGAGTTGGGTGGATCAATATTGACTTAGAGATAGACACATTTCCTCTCCTAACTCAATCATAAACGTCCATGTCTTCCTCCCGATTAATATTTCAAAGGGTGTACTCGTGGTGGAGTACGCATTGTAATGCGTGAACGGATGATCGGTTGAAAGTGATGATATCATCATATTGTACTCGGCCAACGAGGGTAGTGGTGTACGCCATTGTCATCGAGGAAAAGGTGTATGGTGGTATCTGAACTGCGTATTGTGAAACGGCCGTATGGTGAGTCGACCGTATTGTATAGTGAAAGGTGGAACAATCTCATTATCGAATTCCGGCTTCAAACAATCACGACTGTATCATTACCTCTATACAAGTTTGTACCAAAGCTCACAAGATGACTCCCCCGCACTACTCCGTCGGAAACAACGGTAGAACTGTCACGAACACCATCAGCATCATCTGCTAGCGCATATCCTCAGACAATTTCGACTAACAAATCGCAATAA